GTTTTTCTATGAGTTAGATCAATTAAAGTGATTTTAAATTTTTAACTAAATCTTTTAAATAAAAATATGTGATTGACAAAAAGGGGTATTGTAGGTAAAATGCGTCCACCTTTTAGCTGTGTGTTAAGTATGGCGCTCAGTGACTTTTAGCATTATACAATTGCTACAGAAACAACAGTAGAGTTCATTATCCTCTGTTTAGAGGAGAAAAAATGAAGCTAAGTGAGGGAAATTAGCCCATGCCAAAAGATTTTAACAATAATGAGACAATCACACAGCTAGTAAGTAACACTTGTCAGGAGCAGAAGTGGAATGGAGCCTTAGCAGTGACTCGCAGGCATCAGCCCACCACTTGGCCTGCACAACTACCTAACAGTCTGCTCATAATCTACTGAGTTGAGGTATTTGGAGCCTGTTCAGTGATCTAAATGACAGTGTCCACCAGGTCTCATCTATTGCTTCGCTAGTAACTAGCATTTTCCAGGGAATCAACTCCTTCAGTGTTGCACTGAGATTAGTTGTAATTCCAGTCCTTAGCTGCTTCAGCACCAGGCTTTTTTTCATCTGCTAATGGACTTTTAAGTTTCAAATATATTGACAATTCTGAAGTGAATGCCGCAGACACTTGGCTTTTCAAATTGGTTACTCATATTTTGCAGTTATTCTCATACCATGCATAACAACAAGATACCACATAAAACTTATCTTAATTAATGTCATACGGTGTGACCTAAGTACAAAGAATTATTTCAGAAAATTTGTACTGAATCCATCTTCTCCTTTTACTTGTATTATCAAATCTAAGCTATATTCTAGGATGGAGATTGATCTCAAAAGAAATTAGGATTTTGGCACTCAGTTCGATGAGATTTTGCTCCTGTTTACTCACAGTCTTTACATATTTAGCCCATTTGTACAGTTCCTGCAAGTTAATAACCACAGCCATAAAGCCTTACAGTCTAATTATAACACCAACATTACAGTTCATTAACTCCATGACTGGGTTATGTGATTAGAGCAAGTAAATAGTTTCTTACAGAGTCAACAACAAAGGATTGCTTTTCTTTTAGAAAGGAGCATCATCTGACTTCAGCATGCATATAACTTTAGTATTTTAAGTATCAGTTTGTTTTAAATATGTGTTGGAGAGAATCATGATACTTACCATGTTCATTCCTGTAAAAAGGTAATGAGGCTCTGGCTGATTCTCACTTTAATGATGCTCTCAGTTACTTCACAAAGTGTAGATATGTAGTCAAGGAGAAAAAAATAATTATATCAGCACTGCAAATATTTAGAGCTTTATTAAAGCAAAGATGTCAACCATGACTATTATTGAGCACTATGTACCCAAAAAGGTACTATGGACTTTACATGTATGGCCGTATTTAATCCCAAATGAAAATGTATGGGCTATTACTATTTCCATTTCTAGAGATGATAAACATGAGGATTTTTTCTTTAAAGTCACGTAATATATGTTGATTCTTGCCTTTTTAAGTGAGAACAAACATTTCCATATTGGAAAAAACTTATTGATTCACTGATACATAATTCTAAAATCAAAGCATAACTGCTGAATGAGACAAATGACAGATGAATAACAGACAGAATGATACTTGATGCCTACTGATACTCATAGAATTGAAGAAAAGCAACAGATACCCCCTGCATCTCCTTTTGGACACCTTCTCTGACAATTCTGTGGGTCATCTCAGGCCCACAGAGGTAGATCATACCCATAGGTAAGGACCTATGATGAATGAAAATGAGCCAGCTAAATCTGTACAGTACCAAGCTTCAAAAAACAAACTATTTCAAAGATTGCAACAGTTGTATTGCCAGCTTTCCTTTTCTAGTTGCAAGTATTTTATTCCTGATTTTAGTAGAAGCAAAACAGCACAAAGAAAAAGTTGGGCAAACTTAACTTTTGATCTAGTGATTTGAGCTGAAAATATCTCTGGGAGATACTGAAATCTCCCCCATGGTGTTTCTATATACTGCAATGGGAAGATCGCCTATATTAAAGGAACAATATTACATTCTACCTTAATAGAAATAATAAATTTAGAACTTTGTTTTACCTTTGAAGATCTATAATCAAAAACAACTAGTAATGATCTGATGAATTAGTGAATGTGTTCTCCTGCCCAAAGCAATCTTTTTTTTTTTTTGAGACAGGGTCTCACTATGTAGTTGAGACTGACCTGGAACTCACTTGTAGCCCAGGCTGGTCTTGAACTCACAGGGATCCTCCTGCCTCAGCCTCCTGAGTGCTGAGATTACAGGCATGTGCCACCACACCTGGCTAAAGTAATCATTTCTTAATTCTCTTTCCATATCATCCTTAATCCCCTTAAACATAATGTGCACTGGCTGTTGCAGGTTTTTGCTTACTGAGAAAAGTAAACTCTGAAGATAGACTATAAAAATAATGTCTCATATTGTTCATCTTTCTATCAACTTCACTTAACCACTTTCTCAATAAACAGTAATAGTGTTAATAATTAGGAAGTAATTAATGAACCCGATCACTTATTCTCAGATGATTCATGGAGGGTAGTAATTTTAGAGTTTTACAGAGAGTATGGATATTCTAATCTGCTTTTAGAATGACATCCTTCCCTTAAAATTTTTGGAAAATTTCTACTTGTTTAGAACTTTTAGAGCCTAAATCATCCTATAAACCAAAGCTGGATATACTGGGATGTCTCATGATCTGCTTCACATGACCAATGACTGATTTACTGCATTATGAATTACTTTATGGCTTCATTTGAATTTAGGACATTCCTATTGATTTCAACATAATACAAAGTAAGTGACCCAGAATGAATTTGACTAATATCCTACCTTGATGAATAAGGAGCCAGGATCATAAATCAGAGGTATTCTTTTGAATCGTAACAGTAACCTGAGAAACATAGCCTTCATGAACAGCAGCAATACAAGAAAAAACCTCATAAGAAAAATCAGAACTCTGTGTTTTCTTTAATTTAGAAAAACAACATAAATATTTTATTTGGAAAGAAGGATAAACACAAATATAACCAAAGTTTTTATAAATCAAGTAAAACAAGAAAAAAGTTAATTTCCCAGATGGCATTTTGGATTGGTTATCAAATCTGGAAAATAGTTGATTTGAAGCAATATGTGAAATTTGCCTTCCA